ACATTCTAATTTTATGCAGTGGACTATATCTTAATGGATTCGTAGGTTATAATGATTGTGCAAAAATAGCTTACCGTCTTTATGCCAGCTAACATCTTTTGGTTACCTGGAGGGCATTCAAGTGCCGGTGGTGGTTTGACCAGGGTGGCGGCAAGTGAAGAAGTGACTCGAGGAAAACGGCAGATCTTGAAGATTAAGTGTTATCTTTTAGATCCTCTGATCTGCCCCCACCACTTGCCGTAACGCGAGAAATTCAAACCATTTTTTGCACAAACAGGGACCTTTTCCACCAAATCCTCTCTGATAAAATTGATCCCAATATATCCTTAAAAACTTCTGATGACCTAGATATTGCCGTAAATTCCTTTACTACCACAATCCAATAAGCTGCCTGAACTGCCTCCTTCCCAAAAGACTCCTCCAGAATTCCTAAAAAGACCATTCTAGCCCGACACCTCCTTGACCTACTCCACACCAAACGCCATACCAGATTATTATGGCAACGTACTCGACATCCTACTGACCGCAGCTCCTATAACTATTAATGCAAAAAAATAAAACTGGAATTAGCCACCATCAGATCACAATCCTTAAACTCCTACCTATCCTCTCTCTCTCTCTGCTGTTGACAATTCTCTTTGGAAAACCACAACGAAAATCCTAAACCCTCACCAAAGTTTCCATCCACTTCAACGAGATGATGGTTCTTGGGCAGCATCTGACGAAGATAAAGCCGAAGAGTTCGCCAAACTACTCTCTAATACATTTGTTCCCCCATTCGGAATCCAATCCCGCCCACACCGTAACAGTAGAAGAATTCCTTACATCATCTATCCCACTTTTCTTGTCTCCTAAAGCAATTCGTCCTTCCGAAATGAAATTGCAATTACAAAAGCTAATCCCCCGCAAATCCCCTGGATATGATCTCCTTACCCCTCAGATCCTTCCACAACTTCCATCCAAAGCACTCATATTCTTTACATATATCTACAATTGCATTCTATATTCTATCCACTAACACTCCACCTGTTAACGCCACAGCGTTAATTTATTTTATTTTCAACAATATTTGGTTAATTGTTATTTTTGCTTGTCTCATAAAATGAAACCAATTAATTATTATATATATATTCTTAAGCCCATAGCTTATTTTGTTTATATTCAATAGGTCAATAGTTTATACTTAAATTGTTATCGATTGTAGCCCTAGCTATAAACAAGTGCTAGGTTCAAGTCCTAAAGCAGTAAAATTGACAATAGACAGTCTGACTCCGCCCGCCACTGAGCTGTGTACTGCCAACTTCAACACTGCCCACTGCAGTTCTACTGTGAAGAGACGTACTTTTCTCGTCGTGCTCGCCGCTCCCCATTTGCAGATTTAATTATATGAGCGCTCATATTGAACCCAAGTTCAGTCACTGAAGAAGGATTGGAGTGCCAGCGGTTCGTCCATATCTACTGCCGTCACCTGCTTGCGACCACCTAAACTTGTTCAACTTTTATTAATTTGTTTTCGTTCAGTTTTGTATAGTTCCTACATTAGGGTTAATATATATTTGTTAATTTTTCCATAGTCAAACATCGAACTATTTTATTAAATATTTCATAATTATTATTAACACTGTATTCAGCTTATCGTTATTTTATTTTAAAAGTTATTACTTTAATTTATTTATTGATAACAGTGTAAAATTGATTTCATTTTATTTTTTATGTGTTCATTATTAGTAGGTGTAAATGTTTCAAAGTACAGTCCACTTTCTTTTAAATTACAATCAACTTAATTTGAATAATAGTTAGACTTCATTCAAAGTTTATTTAAACTAAGAGGGAGCTTAACACCACCATTATTCTTTTTCCAAAACCAGGCAAACCTTCCAACAGCTTGACATTCTATAGACCAATTAGCCTAATCCCAATACTTTCAAAAAACTTCAAAAAGATCCTTTTGAAACGACTCCTACTCCTCATATAGTTCCAAAATCTTCCTTCCCATCAGGAAAGATGCAATACAGTCGAAATGCAAACATATTATCTTTATTCTCCAACGCAATTCCTATCCACCAGTGCATCTTAATTCCATCCAGCTTCCTTACTCAGACACAGTCCGGTATCTTGGCTTTCTCTTAGACTGAAGGCTGACATGGGACTCGCATACAAGACTCGAAAGACATGAACTCAACCAACGATATGGCCAGCTATATACACTAATGAACAGCAAATCTCAACTTTCAATTGACAACAAACTACTGATCTACAAGACAACACTGAATCCTATTTGGACCTATGGACTGCAACTGTGGGGGACAGCAAAATTTTCCAACATCAAATGTATCCTATCCTTTCAGTCCAAAGTCCTTCGAACAACAGTTCTATGTAATAATAATGCTCCGTTCTATGTAAACAACCAAACCTTACACCATGACCTCAATATCCTATTTGTCCTAGACCTTTCCCTCAAAAATTTTCCAAATTCCATCAAAACCATACATATCATCCAAATCCAATTTCACAATCCCTCTCTAGCTCTACTGATCACTACAATCCTCCTCGAAGGTTGAAACGGCAGTGGCCCAGAGACCTGTTGTTGGAATATATTGGAGTTCTGACAATGGCCAGATTCTCCACCCAAGTCATGTATGTCTGGTTATAGTGGGTCTGTTCAGCCTCCATTGGTAATATCAGTGATGTGCCTGAGTGAAAGACGCTGGGATCTCCTAGAGTCCTGCTTATCCCTCCAGGAGTGAGGGGAAAGGCTTGGCTCGGAGACCTTGAGTGAATGAATATTGTATAAAAGCATGTGTGTGTTTAAGTAGTTATTTTGTTAATTAGTTTATTTTTGTTTAGTATCTTTTAGTTTTATACATTTATTTACTTTTAGTATTATTATATTGCTGTTTATTTATTGTGCATAGTATGAATGATCTACTCTTTATCACTATTACTATTGTCCTTAAATGTGACAGAATGTAATATATCTCAATAAAAAAATTTCTTAGAAAAAAAAAATTGTCTTAATGATTTGTTACATGTAACCTTTAAGCTATAGCTCTGTTAAAAGCGTACTTCAAAAAATTTATAACAGCCCAACATTGCCAGAAAATAATTTCTATTCAAAGTAGAGCAGCAAGTGAAAGTTGTGTGATGTGCGCACCAGATTTTTATTACAAATGTTGATACTGTCCAACAAAAACTTATACCGTATATATATGTCGATGCATTCCGTTTTTTTATAATAAAATGTAGCGAAACCATATAAACTGACCGCATGATACATTTAAATTATTTCTGTTTTCTGATAATAACAGAATAAAATGTTAATAATTGTAGTAGACATCCCCCTGTATTTACTCCTTTATGTGACATTGTGTGAGGGAATGAGAAGGAATATATAGGAATGTGAGGTTGCACTGTGAATTGTACTCAATTACGCAGTGGAAAAATTATTCATGGAAAAGTCTCATATCGATAAACAATAGATGAAGGACGCTGGAAAAAGGAGAGCAGGTAGCTAGCAACAGCTGGAGAGGCACTTGAGGCTGAGACATTGAGGCGGAACGACATACCTGGGAAGAGAGTCTACCACAAGATTTAGAAGATCAAATCTGTAGTTATAACACTTAAATAGAGTCAATTTATTATAGTTGTCAAAATAAATTGTTTTGCAGTGAAAAGTCATTTTATTTAGTTGTCCTATATGTCTCACAACTGAAGAATAACAAACCAGATGAGTCAATTCATCCAAAGTTTATTTACTAAGTCCCACATTTCAAATATATATTCTTATTGTCTCTTCTAACTCAGTGTCAAAAAAGGTATTAGATTCCCGAATCCACAACAACAGTTAAACACCCTCAAAAAAGTCTATATCCAGTACCGGGGTTTTGTTTTAATTATCTCGAGTGTAAATAACCTAATTCCCCCGATAAAAGCAGAACGCTATTCGCCTATTTCTGCCAAAAAAGGTCTTTAACAATTAACCTTTAACTTGTTATTTACATAATGATGTAATATTTATAAAGTTGAAACATTTAACTACAATTAGTTAATTTTATACAATGCAAAGTTTGAGGGTTATTTAAGTCTCCAGATATCAGAATCCAACAATTGTTTAGTTAGTTTAAATATTAATGTTGATTGAAACTTATATTCCATAAATTTATTGGTCAGATTTATTGAAACTCAGCTCAAAAAGAGCAATGAACAACCCAATGGAAGTGGTACGATGTTGATTTACTTTAATTGATTAATAAGTACAGCTAATATCTGATTTGATTTTGGAAATTTCAATCAAATAACCTAATTTAAAAGTTCTAGGTTCAATATATTGTATTGTAAATATAGTGATTTTAAATATTGGCACGAAGGCAGTGACGTCACAAACTACTGTCAACAATGGACAGAGAGACAAAGGATGACAGATGAAGGGAAGAAGAGTGAAAGTGAACAGCCGGCTAGTAAAGAGGATCGAGGAGAAAAAGTGACAAACAAGTAGTCAGTGTCAGTAGAAGTTGAATGCAACAATACAGAGGAGAAGTTACTTCTGAACAGGGTGAGTAAAAAATATATAGTGACAGATCGAAAGCGTGCTAAGAGTAGACTCCGACAAAATTAATGAAAATTCATAAATAAATTATATAAAATTAATTTATGCCTTTGTATTATATATTTGAGGAATGTGTGTTAGTTGTCTCAACCCAACCTGAGAAATAATTATTGTGTAAAACTATTTTGTTTACTTTTCAAAGGAAACGTAACCTTACAACATGGCGTATATATATATTGTAATATTTTCTCTCTCCGTCTGTCTGTTATTGTTGACGTTTGTCTTTTAAAATATGAAATCTGTCCTTCTAACCTTTAATCTTTCTGTTAGTAAATTAACCTGGTCTTAGTGTATCTATTTATCATTGTAAGGATGGGGTGAATAAGTTTAGATAGGATGAGAAGGATAAGGTACATTAGGTAAGACCGCCAAGAATGATAGAGGGACAACCCCTACACATCCAGGGCTCAGCAACCGAGGAGGCAATCCCCTGACGTTGCAAGGACAGGATAAGGTAAGACCGCCAAGAATGATAGGGGGACAACCCCTACACATCCAGGGCTCAGCAACCGAGGAGGCAATACCTTGACGTTGCGAGGATAGGATAAGGTAAGACCGCCAGGAATGATAGGGGAACAACCCCTACACATCCAGGGCTCAGCAACCGAGGAGGCAATCCCCTGACGTTGCAAGGGCAGGATAAGGTAAGACCGCCAAGAATGATAGGGGGACAACCCCTACACATCCAGGGCTCAGCAACCGAGGAGGCAATCCCCTGACGTTGCAAGGGCAGGATAAGGTAAGACCGCCAAGAATGATAGGGGGACAACCCCTACACATCCAGGGCTCAGCAACCGAGGAGGCAATCCCCTGACGTTGCAAGGATAGATTAGGTAAGACCGCCAAGAATGATAGGGGGACAACCCTTACACATCCAGGGCTCAGCAACCGAGGAGGCAATCCCCTGACGTTGCAAGGATAGGTTAGGTAAGACCGCCAAGAATGATAGGGGGACAACCCCTACACATCCAGGGCTCAGCAACCGAGGAGGCAATCCCCTGACGTTGCAAGGATAGGTTAGGTAAGACCGCCAAGAATGATAGGGGGACAACCCCTACACATCCAGGGCTCAGCAACCGAGGAGGCAATCCCCTGACGTTTCAAGGATAGGTTAGGTACGACCGCCAAGAATGATAGGGGGACAACCCCCTACACATCCAGGGCTCAGCAACCGAGAAGGCAATCTCCTGATGTTGCAAGGATAGGTAACCTTACACTCCCAGGGACAACCTGGAAGATGCAAGGAGGACTGTAGGAAAACGAGGGACAACCTAGTTATTCCTACAAAAGGAGAGAGGAGGTGGGATAGGAGAGAACAGAAAGTGAGAGGAAGGAAGGTAAAATAAAAAAATAACACAATGGTCTGGTTTCAAACTGTCAGACAGAGAGATTTCAGGAGCCTTTGTGGAGGAAGAGGTAGTGACTCGGGAGAGAGTGCCTGCCCAAGAGACCAGGCTTCTATTTAAACTAATAACCAGCCCTCAGACCTGTTTTCAGGTTAGTGAGAGGCAACACTAGTGACAATTATTTTAATTAGGCCCTGAGATCTCTAAGTCCAAACTCTTTTTATTTTTATTAAATTATAGTTCATGAATACTTCTTTTAAAAATATTACAAACATTAGGGGTAATATAAAAGGAAATAATAAATAGCATCAAAATGAAATACATAGTTCACTGGGCAACTAACAGGTTGCGCTACTAAAATTATTAATCATTATTAGAACAAACAATGACTTGCATTAATGAATGAAATAGTTCATTAGAACAATGCCCAGGCACATCCTCCAACACATCATACCACTAGTTATTTACTATTCAACCTTTGTCAAACAATGTAAAATTAAATCACAACTAAAATTAATAAAATAAATAGCAATAAATTGAATTTATAAATATGTTACATATAAATGCGTCTTTTCACACAGTTCAAAAATAATTAAAGAACAAAACAAAAACATGTCTTCTGTTAACAATTACAATTTATAAAGGCCCTAATAAAATATGTTACAATATATATATATATATAATTTTAATATTGTTATAATGGACAAAATGACATGTAATATTGAGGCAGAAGAAATTTTGGGAATTCCAGAGGGGTCATAAGTTATTTTAGATGAGGAAAATTCATTAGTTAAAAATTACGAAAGTATTGTGCAGGTCCAAGTAGCCAACAAACCAATTCAAATACTGAGTGATAACTCGGGAGTTTCGAATATTCAATTTATGTTAAGTCAAATATTAGCCGGCGTTAATGAAATGAAAAATGGTTTTGAAAATTGAATGAAAATGAAAATCAGAAAATATAAAACAATTTGAAAAAAGGGAACAGAATTTCAAAACATTTACAGCAGAAATAAAAAATGAAAACAGTAGTAGGGCCAAACAATGGGAAGAAAGATTTGAAAAGTGTAATAACCAAAAATATGATACTGACATAAATGATTTAAAACAAAATCTCAATAAAGAGATAGTATGTGTGGCAAATAATTTATCTGCAAAATGAGATAAAAAAGAAAATACCATAATAAATCAAATTAATGCATGTCAAGCAGAAAATGGTAAAATAAACGACAAACTTCAAAATATTGAACAAAAGCATTCAGAGGAAATATGTCAATTACGGAGGAAAATAATTAATGAAAACATAAGAACCCATTGCACCAGACCTGTTTTAAAAAACATAAAATATAACTAAAATAGAGAAGCTTGAATTTCAAGATTTCAAGAAAAGTGACCCGTTTTTAATTATTTCAAAAATAAAAAATAATATAATAATAATAATAATAATAATAAGGCTTAGCGAACCCGAAGGTTCGATGCCGACACCACCAATCGCTTGTTACATACACACCTCCCTCCACCGTTCGCTGTCCAAACCCAGTTCCTTCAGATCAGCTTTAATGCAATCTTCCCACCTTCGCTTCGGTCTACCCCTCGGACGCTTACCATTCGGCACAGCAAATATTAACCTTTTAGGAATTCTCTTGTTACTAAGCCCAACAACTTTACAAGCCCATTTGATTCGCCGCGATGAAATTACCTCAATTATATTACCCGGATACAGCTCATGCAATTCGGCGTTGTGTAACCGTCTGAACTCTCCGGTTAACTCATCCTTCTTCGGTCCGAATATTCTACGCAATACTTTATTTTCAAAAACCTTAAGACGCTGCTCATCCCTTAATGTAAGCGGCCAAGTTTCGCATCCATAAAGAACTGTAGGCAAGATAATTGTTTTATAGATTCTAATTTTTAAGTTCCGGGACAAGAGGCGCGAACTAAGTAGTTTTGTCACAGAAAAATAACAATCATTTCCCGCCTTCAGTCTAACCTTAATCTCCTCTTCAATTTCGTTCTTTCTAGTTATCGTAGAACCTAGATACTTAAATTTATCTACCTGTTCAAACATATTACCATCTATATCGATATCACCAGTAGTATCGCCATTTTTGCAGCTAACCATATATTTTGTTTTATCCACGTTTATTTCGAGTCCTAGTTCTTTACCGGCTTTCATTAACGTTGTCGTATTTAGTTTTATAGTTTCAACGTCTTCGCTTAACAGTACCAGATCATCAGCATAGCCCAGCACGGATGTTGTCCCGCCCAGATCCAACCCTTTCTCGGTTCGCATTACCTCCCTAATGGTATGTTCTAATGCCAAATTGAACAGGACAGGCGAAAGAGAATCCCCCTGTTTTAAGCCCGAACGAACCTCAAATTTTTCGGACAAATTATTACCGATTCTAACTTTATTGAGTGTCTCCGTCAAGCACATCCTGACTAGATTTACTAGTTTTTTTGGAATCCCCTGCTCGATTAGAATATTATACAGTTTCTGGCGATCAATAGAATCGTAAGCCTTTTTAAAATCTATATACAGCTGGTGAACAATACCGTTATACTCCAATTTTTTCTCTAATATTTGCCGTAAAGAAAATATTTGATCAATTGTCGAACGATTCCGTCTAAATCCGCATTGGTAGTCTCCGATAATTTCCTCATTCCGTGATTCGACTGGTTAAGATTAAAGTGAATATTTTATAACATACCGGAAGGAGTGAAATTCCTCGATAGATATTACAATCCGTCCTCGGACCCTTTTTGTGAATCGGAATAAGAATAGATTCTTTCCATTCTTCAGGTAATTTCTCGTTCACCCAGATCTTTTTAACCAACCGATGTATTTTAGAAACTCCAGCTTCCCCGCATGCCTTAATTAGTTCAGTAGGAATATTATCGGTTCCCGCTGCTTTATATTACCATATTGCTGCTTTATATTTATATTACCAGAGTGCTGAACCGTTAATAGAAGGACCAAGTAAAGATGAAGTTGAAGTAGCTATCGGAAAATTAAAATCATATAAAAAATAATATAGCTAATATAAAAAAGTGGAAAATTTTTAATATTGTTAAAATGTTTACATCCATAAGAAACTCTGTAGAGCATAAAAAATTGGTTCATAAATTACCACAAATTGAAGCTACTCTTAACATAACTATAAGTATAATACTGAAGCAAGCATTGTTTGGGTCAGTCCATTAAAATTCTGGGAATTATTTTTCGGTTATGATCCAGAAGGTATAAACTTAGACCCAGATGATATAGACGATTTATTACTAGCATTATTAAGGATTCCTCAGCTTGGCTTCATAAATGTTCTCTTTTCTCCTCTAAATGAAAATTATCTGATACCATATTAATAAGCATGCCTCGTTGTATTGTAAATAAACTCAACGCTTTTGTATTATATCAATAGCATTATATTTTATGATGAGCACTAACAAAAATAATTTTAAAAAATTTTATGTTTTGTTATAAATTATTACTCAAGAATTATGATTGTTAAACGAATGAAGAATTAAAACAAAAATCCTCTGTTTTATTGTATGAAGATTAATGTAATATAGTTTTAAGAAATCAATAATTTTGTATATTAAATTGTAATTATTTGTCAATAAGTTTGGAAAATCCATTGTAAATTGAGTGAATGTCATTGTAAATAGTGTGAATGTCATATGTTAAGTTTATTATTTTATATGAAAAAAAAAATTGTAAATATTTTCCCGAATTACGAATATCTATTTTTTGCATATTGCCCAGTATATGCCGCTGTAATTTTCTTAAGTGAGCTCCTGCTCAGATTAATTAGGAGCTTACATTTTTTTTGACAGATTTCTTCCAGAAATAGTCTAAAGTAACGCTGTTTTTTAAAGCACAAGTTCTTTTTATCTTAAGCAGCATAGATCTCCCCAATTATGTTTGTTATTAGACACTGACTAATTCCACAGATGGATTCAGGAGCTATAGGAATCATTTGTGAGCCTAATCTTGCTAGTTTATCTTCTTCTTTTTCTTTGTCTTCCTCTTATGCCATTAGTTAGTGTCGAGGAGCCTCAATCCAACGTAACCACTTCTTCCGGTCCATGCTTAGCCGCTTCATCTCATTGAGGGTTTTGCCTCTTTTACATCCAATTCTTTGAATATACTCTTGGTGGTATGTGATTCTGGTGCGTCCACAAGGTCTGCTTCCTGTGGGTTGAGCCTCTAATATCCTTATAGGATTCTAGTTCTCGTTCTTGCGGCAGACATTTACTAACCACTGGAGTTGCTGTCTTTCTAGAGTGGTTTTAAGTTAGCTAACTCCTAGTTGCTCTCTAATGCTTTTGTTTCTAATACGATCCCTTCTAGTTCTCCCAACAGATCTGCGAAGGAACCTCACTTCTGCTGTCATTATGCGAATAGAGTGCCTGTCTGGCATTATCCAGCTTTCTCCGCCGTAGGTGGGTGTAGGTAGGTAAACAGACTTATATACATGAATTTTGGTCTTGTGTACTTCGCGGTGGCCAATAATGCTATTAGTAGTCTGGTAAAACACCTGATTTGCATTACATATTCTGTTTGATATTTCGGCATCTACCTTACCCAAGCTACTAATTACGGTCCCTAAGTAGGTTTATTCACTCACTACCTCAAGTGTCTTGCCATTGCAGATCAGTTGTACATCTTCCTGTTCTTCTCTCGCCATAACCAGCTCTTGGAGGTGTTAATTTGCA